TGTACAATTATGCCAATTTTAAAACGCCAAACCACAAAATTGTTTTGCATTTCTCTGAGACCTTGGTTTAGTATTTATGTATACTAGTTTAATTATGTATGAAGTCTGCCTCCCACACAACATGTGGTCATGCCACCATGCCCAACACTGAAGAGATGCCCTGTAACTTCAGAATGACAATTTCTCTCAAGAGCTTCACCAGTCGCAGAGCTTCTGATTGCTGCTATCTTGGTGTTAACTAGCATTATTGGAGAACTATTCTTAGGATTTACCTTTGTTAATCATTTCTTTTTCTTGTAATTGCTGCATTATTACCACTTTAATATTTATATTGTTCCTTTCCAATTCTTTGTTATCACTGAGCGCTTTTACCACTGGAAAAAGAGGAGAGACAGTATAGGCAAATTGTAGGGTATTGGCCAGGTGCAGTGGCATACTCCTGTAATCTCAGCAGCTCAGGATGCTCTGAGACAAGAGGATCATGAGTTCAAAGCTAGCCTCAGCAAAAATGAGGCACTAAGCAACTCAGTGAGACTGCCTCTAAATAAAAATACAAAATAGGGCTGGGGATATGGCTTAGTGGTTGAGTGCCCATGAGTTCGTTCTGTGGTATCACCTCCCCCACAAAAAATTATAAAGTCTTATTTTTGTCTGCCCGAAAATTTTAACAAGTATTGCCCCAGATAAACTGTTGAGTCTCACCAAGCTACCTTATTAATGGTGGCCTGAAATTTCCATATGTCCAGAGGCTATCTCTGAGCCTGTTTTAAACCATTCTCTTCCTTCTACCTTGAAATTGTCCCTGACTCCAAATCATCACAAATTCCTCCTCTCATAAGTCTTTACTGTGTAACTTGTTAGTGGATCAGAAACAGCTGTGAGATATCTTCAAACACAGAACCGCTGTCTAATTCTTGAATTCTCTCTCTTGGGAAGTAGTTTGACTTTCCATCAAGACTTAGGTATCCTGAGATCAGGGACCAAGTTTTGTATCTATACATCTTAGTACGAAATGAAGAAAGTGCCCAAGGTATAGAAGCATTACAAGGGTTATTTACAAAGCACCTGTGGTCTAATCTCAGGGTTGTGAGGCAGCAGAAATGGACAGAGTCTGTTTGGACACCAGCCCTGAGCTGGTTCCCCAGACCTGTGTCGATGAAGCCTGTTGTGGCATCTGCTGTAGCTATGAGCAAATGAGCTAACAGGACTTATGGGATTTTTGCTAATGCAGCAAATAAGCAGGAGTGTACTTGTTTTTCAGACTTTGCTGCTGGTCCTGCCTCTGCATCTGGCTCTTGAACTTACTTTCGTTTGCTTGCTTGCTTGCTTGCAGTACCAGGAAATGAACCTAGAGTACTCTATCATTGAGCTATATCCTTAGCCCTTTTAAAATAATTTTTTTGAGACAGGGTCTCACTGAGTTGCTGAGGCTGGCCTCAAAATTGTGATCCTACTTCCTCTGCCTCTCATGTAACTGGGATGCCAGGTGTGTGCCAGCCACCACACCCAGCTCTTGGACTTTTATGAATCACCATCTGACCACCTGAAATCACAGCAATTGCAAGAATCTATGGTTGAACACCCTGCCTTCCCTGCCCTATGCCACTTCCAGCCTGGTTTGGGGCCCCATTTGGGACACTCATATGTCCCTTGCTATATGCTGTCTCATTCTTTTTTATTTTTTTTTTTTAGTTTTCGGCGGACACAACATCTTTGTTTGTATGTGGTACTGAGGATCGAACCCGGGCCACACGTATGCCAGGCGAGCACGCTACCGCTTGAGCCACATCCCCAGCCCCAATGCTGTCTCTTTCTTACCTGGTCTGATTCCTGACTGGGTCCAGGTCCTAAGTCCTTTTTCACAAGCTATGATTCCCCATCCCTAATGGGCCTTTATTGGCCTTTCTGGTTCTTGTACTGTAATGTTTTTAGTCAATTTCCATGAACAATCTGGCCATAAAATAAAGCAGGGAACACATCTAAAATCCTGCTTAAAAGGAGACACTGATCTTGACTGGAAGGATATGCTGCTCTGCCTTATATGTCTAAAGATTGTATTAATTATAATGTGGACTTTGATTCTTGAGTCTCATGGTTTTTGGTGTTTGTCAGTATGAACACATTAGACTTACTCTGTCTTCAAACCAATGATCTGTTTGATCAAATAATTGGACAATACAGAGTGAGGGTGAGTGACAACAAAATGGTGGCCCAAGAAGGAGGAAATCAATCTAACCAGTGAGGAGTTAAGTAATGTCTATTCCAGCGTAGCTATTGCTCATGAGTTCATTAAATCAATGAATGTTACGAACTGTTCTCCCTCTGTGACCATAGACCTGTAACCACTGAAATCACAGGTTTGCAGAACAGATGAGTTAGAAGCTTCTACAAGAAATAAAGATCATTTCTTAGCTTAAAACAATGTCTGTACTCATTTGGAAATCAGATCAATTAATCTGACAACTTAGATGTTCACATTCCTGTGAGATTAAGTATAAATAGGTTTACTCAGAGAGGTTTCACATTAGAATTGTTCATGGGGATGTTACAGTTTGGATCTGAAATGTCCCTCAATGGCTCATGTGTTGAAGACTTGCTTCCCAGTTAGTGGCACTACTGAGAGGTGGTGGAAATTTTCGAAGATGGGGACTAGTTGGAGGAAGTAGGTTATGGGAGTAGGAGGTGCCTTTGAAAGGGATATTTTGCACCTCCCTTTCTCAGCCCCTTTGTCTTGTTTTCTTTTTGCTTTCTGGCTGCCAGAGATAAGCAGTTTTGTTCCACCACGCCCTTCCATCATGAATGTTTGCCTCACCACACACCCAAAGCAATGGGGCCAAACAACCATAGATTAAACCTCTAAAACCAGGAGTTTTAATAAATAAATCTTTCCTCCCTTTAAGTTCATTTTCCCAGGTACTTTTTCACAGTGACAAAAAGCTAACACAAGGGAGAAGAAACATTAAAGTCTTCTCTGAGAAAATGAAGTGACAAAAATGTGTACTGGGTACTCTGCTACCTTTTCAATATTTTATTGAGTTGATTTTGTTCTCTGTTTACTGTAACCAAACATCCAAGGCTACTGAATCAACTGCTGCTATGTACCAATGCAAGGTCCTCTCTGAGCTCATTTTTAACAGCCCTTCCTTGAATCTTCAAAGCCAAATTCTTTTGAAACGGGAACTAGGGTTAAATTTAGGTCAACATGGATTTCACAAAAGCAAATCCTTTAAAGTTTGCATTAAAAATTCATATGTCTAACTAGACGACCTTGTTCGGCTGATGATAATATTACAAAAAGTTAATTTCCCATCTCTAGGCTTTCTCACAAGGAAGTTCTGTAGCTTCATTCCAAATGGATTGGAAGATTTCATCTCAGTTTCACAACACAAGCAGGACTGAGTATGCTTATCATCAGTTTGCTCCATTCTGTCATAAATAATATCAAGTGCATGTCAGGTCAGTTCCTGTTCATGTCATTTTGTCCCCATCCAGGTTCCTGGGATTCATTTCTATGGGCATGGATTCCTCTGTTTTTTATTCTTACTCTTTTTTTTTTTTTTACATAACTGAACTACAAACCTTAAATACTGTTTTTTTTAGTTTGACTCAAAATGGCTATTCTTTTTCTCTAGACTACAAAGATATCTTTTTTGCAGAAGTAGCAAATATCCTAGTAAATCCATACACGTATGACACAAATAACATGGCCACAACCTATTGGATTGTCTCACAGAACATTCAGTTCTTCATTCTGTCTAGAGGAAAAGATATATCAGGGCCTCATCTGCCCCACTGCTTGCCTCTGCCTTCTAGAAGGTCAGAAAATTTCACCCCAACACCAACAGGGAGTGTGTAATCCATCTGAAAGGTGTGATGGGAAGAAGGGGTTGAAGCAGTATAACAAGTAGGTGATAGCATGAACTTTGAGGTCAGAAACCCTTTTTAGGATGTATGATAGATGGAGAACATCAGCTTCTCTAAGACTCATCTCAAGAATTAGGACAATAGTTGGTTATCATGAGGCTTATCAGAAACAATAGATATAGTGCTTTTCACAAAGTATCTGGCACATGGTAAGTGATTAATAAGTGCTTCTAGTGTTCAGCACATTGTAGATGATAAATATTGATTGAATAATTGGGCACGTGGACAAATGAATGAATGACCATTCAGTGAGATAAAAGCCTGTTTTAAGTTCCCAGTATAGATTCCTCTCCTGTAGATGTCTGCTTAAGAAATGGAATAGATTGTGCATGGTTGGGTTTAGTAATGTTAGATAAAGGTACATTTGCTCTCCTCAAGTCTTTTGGAAAAAGAGCAATGATTTGGGTCAATTCTACAATCCTCCTGGTGGCAGAATTTCTATACCAGTTGACAGGAGCCTGCTTTACAGATAGAGGGTGGGCTGCGCCCCTACCAGGGGGTCATTGTTGAACAGATAAATTGAATTGCCTTATTGGGGGTAGCATGTATAGTTTTAAACCTACACTTGCTCCATCCACAGGAGTTACTACAAGGTACTATCTGCCTTCCACATACCTGGGTTAATTCTTGTCAAGCCCTGAACTCCTATTCTGTGCCCCTTCACACTTCCAGACCTGTTCATCTCCTTGCTCCTTGGATCTTCTAGCTAAAGGAATAGCCCACTGCTCTTTGTGGTATGTGAGTGGGGAAACTGCAGCATGTGGATGAAAGAGGGCTCCCTGGATCCCAAGACCAAAAGCTCCTTAAATCTATTCCCCAAGCATTTTTCCTCTCCTTACCCTTCCCCAACCCAGAAGGGTGACCAGAAAGAAGCTGGCAGGCAAACATCCTCAATTTCTGACTAATTGTAGAATAAGATGAGCCCCAAAGCTTGGCTTTACCAGAAAAATGCACCATAGACATACTAGTCTAAATGGAAGGCTCCTGGTACTTAATAAAATTCCAGGCTTCTTCTGTGCCATTTTATAGTGGTGTTTTTGAGACAAACTAGTTTTTAACTCACCTTTTTCTGCCAACTACTGTTCAGCTTTGGGGACATATTTCAGTTCACTTTTAATATTCTGGATCTCCGATAGGTTGACCGCAGGTCCTGGAAGTTTCTTAGCTCCCGGAATTGGCTTCTTCTCCTCATCTGAGGTGGGAGGAGCTCCCTGAAGGAAAATGAGAAGATATTCAACTCCCTAGAAAAGATATTTGATCCTTCTCTGGCTCATGGACATAAACCAGGAAAAAAAATAAAGCAAGAATGTCAGATTGTGATTCTAGCAGAGTTACTTTCTCTTGCATTGTTAAGACAGCCTCAGTTCCAATAAGATCTAGAGTTTAGTAAAATAAATCTGGAAGAACAAAATAAGTAACTTTAATGTATGGCTGGCTCTAATGATGACGTAGTTCAGGAATTTTCAAGGTTTTATTTGAGGTGCTGTGGCTGCCAGTCTTTGGTCCCACGACATCTTTGAAAAGTATAAACAAAAGGACATAAGGGAAACCACTTTGAATAAGGATAGGGTGTGAGGGGCCAATAGAGGAGACCCAGCCTTCTCCTCCTGCTTTGAAAGTATTTTAAATTTCCTATCATGATCTGTTGTTATGTTTTTGTTGCAGCTTTAGGGCAATATCTACATCCTGTCCTTTTTATGGCTCTTCCAATGCCCAGTTACAGATACGCACAAGCATACTTGATGATTGCTGATTAATTCGTTAATCTTGAGAATGTACCATAGTGACAAATCCACACTTCTATGTACATATACCCAACACACATACAACAGTGACTATAAGATAATAAGATCAGCTGCTGTGTATGGCTCCAACTCATTACTACAGAAGAAAGTTGCTTCTTAGTACATTCTTTCTATTTGCTACAGGTGGGGGAACACAGTCTCCAAGGGCCTGGGAAGAAGCTATTTAAGAGAACATTTGATCACCTTGGCAGCCTTGAGAGCATGCCTCCTATCAGTTTACTGCAGGGAGGGTACTCGAATGACAGTCCCAGCTGCTTTGCCCTGAAATCCATCCATCACCAGCTGAGGTCACACTTCCCACGGCTGCTTGTAACCAATGACTGAGTGTGACAGGAATCCTAAGGCAGGTCTATTCCTGAGAGACACATGACACTTCAACAGAGCAGCTCTGGCTGGAGAATTGACCTTAGAGCAGCCCGGAAGTCTGAACTGCTTCCGCAGATCCACCCCCCTCCATCCTTCTCACCTTCCCCTGCAATGTGGTCTGACTGGTGCTCTGACAGCCTCCCACCACTCCCTCCCACTTTTCCTTACAAGTAGTTTCCTCAATAAATATTTTGCACATCTAATCCCATCCTTGAGCCTGCTTCTTGGAGGACACAAACTAACATGGTCTCAAATGTGAGACTGGCAGAATTCCACTTTGGGGGCCAATACTGGGTGAATTAATACAATTCCAAGGGGAAAAGAATAAGAAACTGAATGTCGGCCTTCTGTGAAGCCCTAGGCCCTCCAGCCTAACTTGGCAGCCCTGTCATTGGGATGATGCTGATGCCATGTGTTAGTCCCTGCCAGCTCCTATGCCTAGTTCTCAGATTGGTTAGAACTCGAAGAACATTTTCAAGCTTCTCCAAACCCTGACAAATTACTTGGAAGACATTTCTTTTATAGACACATTTTTAAATTGCTTATTAGAGAGAATGAGTAGACACATAAAATATTGAGGTGATGTTCTTCTACTAAGGGCTAATGGCTTTTCCTATAGTCATTTTCTCTGAATTCTGGTATAGTACTGATGAAATGGCTAACATGTCACCCACATGAAATGATAAAGTAAGTCAATGTAGACTATACCTGCTGTAAATATCTGGAAGATACCGTTTCTGCAGGTCAATGTACAGAGCCATAGGATTGGCTGCTTTTCCGTACACACACGCACATTCATCATTTATAAATGTAGATATAGAAGCAGTAATTAAAGCTGTAAAACATCTACTTGGATGACTAGGTATTCCAAAATGTTCTTTGTTGGGCTTCCAGGAGGGACTTTTTAACAAGAATATAAAGTATTGCTTTTTTTTAATATGTGTAGCAGTGAAATGAAAAATGTTTCCTCACTTATAAATGTTCCCATGGTTGTTAGGTGGGTAGATCTTAATAAAGAAGCCTGAAGGAGAAAAATGTTTCCAATTCCTTCTGTTAAGTTCCCCAGTAAGTCATATCTTTGTAACATCAAAATGTGCTCCATTGGCACATTTAACACATTATATCTATCTCTGAACTTATGTATAAATGTACAAAGATTTATGTGAATATATGCAGATGAATAATGGTAATATTTAATAGTGGGCATCTTCTTTTCAAGTTATTAAAACCTCAGTGCACTGTGTTGTTGTTGTTGTTTTTTAATCAAGGTAAGACTTTTAGTATTTGATTTGGAGAGGTGAGATATAATGGAAAATTATAAGTGGATATATTTAATAATTTGACATTATGATATTGACTCAGGAAGGGGGTTAATAGTGGTACATTTTTAAAACTGAATCTTCTCTCATCTTTTAAAAACTTAATGAAATACAATTCTATTTCTTCCACGAATTTGTTGTTATAAGGATTACAGTAAATTAAGGCATGAACAAGCTGAGTTCCAGATGGCCTCATTTGGCTAATTAAGTACATTCTTTTTGTTTCTTTTTCATAAATAGATATTTGAACTGAGAAGGGACATGGAGGACATTCTTTGGTTCAGATGAAGAAAGGATGGGAGAAGCCTTATAGACCACAGACACATTCCCAGTTTTAGGAATGACTGTTGGGAAGGAAAATGCTTGTTTTGGAAGTCACAGAGTATTTGTAAAGGTTAGCAAAATAGTGAAGCATTTTCCAGCTCACTTGCTTTCATATTCCTCTTTGCTACCAGATACTTTACTGAGTTCTCCCCCGAGCTCTCCTATGTGGGGTGACAGTCTACTGTTCACTCATGCCCAAGCACTGAAGACTTAACAATAACAGCAAACACTACTAACTGTTCTAAGTTACACATACTTGCTCATTGAACCCTCACACCAGCCCTATAAATCTGGCACTACTCTTACCTTACTCACAAGACTTAAGCACAGGAGAGCTGAGAAACTTGCTTACGGTCACACAGCTAAGAATTAGCTGAACCAGAATTAAATAATATGTTCACATTTTGAAGAGACCTGATGGAAAGGGAAATATTTAACAGAAAATCCCAACATGCTATTTTGTGGCTCGATGACATTTTGATCAAAAGAGAGATTTGTGGGGGCTGGGGATGTGGCTGAAGCGGTAACGCGCTTGCCTGGCATGCGTGGGATGCTGGGTTTGATCCTCAGCACCACATAAAAATAAAATAAAGATGTTGTGTCCACCGAAAAGTGAAAAGTACATATTAAAAAAAATTCTCTCTCTTGGTGAAGGCTTGTCAATACCTTACCAATCACTTTAAGCCAGCAGCTGCTTGTCATGCAAAAGACCAGGCCTGCCTATGAGGATTTGACTATGAGGTTCCTGTGCCAGGCAAATGCCAATGTCTGACAGGCCAAGCACACAGAGGGTGCACTCTACCTGGGGAAGGAAAGCAAAGGGCTTGCCAGAGGCCACAGGTGGACCAGAGATAACCAGTGTTCACAGGCTTGTGAGGCTGCCAAAGATTCATTGGATTTCTGCTGGGGTGCATCTTCTTCTTCACATCTGAGAGGGTATCAGGATCAAAAACTCTTCTGAGTTTACATGGAGAGCCTACTGACTGTGACAGAGATATTATGTTAAGATCCCCATGTTATACCAAAATTCTCTTAAGGCAAGGCTAAGCAATGAGTCCCAAATCTATGGAAGTAAGCAATTCTGTTTCCAAACTTAGATAGTAGTATTAAATATGAATGTAGAAATTATTTTGAATTCAGATTCTATTTTCCCAAACTATGCCACAAATGGCAACTGGGACTTACCACACAGAATCCTACTTAACCTACCTTGTACCCAAGCCAAACTGCCCAACCACTCCCCTTAAAATATTGTTTCTGTGAAAAACTAATTCTGTGATCCAGGCCAGAGCTTGAAGCAGGAGAGCCCACTCCTCTGGAAAACCCACCAGTCCTCACAGTTCATTCCTGCTTGTGTGATAAGGGAGCTCCCCAGCTCTACTTTCCTCTTGCCCACTGAGCCCTGTGAAGAAGTGTGGCACCATTGAAGAAATACTCCTGGGTTCTCTGGATCTCTGTGGATACCTTACTTACTCTATCATGTAAAGAATATTAGTTGGCTATTTGTATATGTGGCTGGTTATAAAGTATATATTAATAAACTAGACTGTATCCATTCTTGATTATTTTAGAATGTGCTGGAAACCTCAGATTGGGGACAAAGCAAGAGTGAGAGCAAAGTGCTTCCCTAGCCCCCTCAGTGATACACTTGTGTGGAAGAAAGTACCAGTTGTACAGAGAAGAATCAAGGACCATCTGTACCACAGAGAAGAAGTAAGACGGAGCCTCCAAAGCAACTGTTACATCAGTCAATTTAATGAGAAAGAAGGTCAAGCTACCTTCTGATTAATTGCCACCATAGTGACAGACACAGCTTAAGAGGAAACATGAGAAGAAAATCTAATGACAACAGGCATAGGAAAAATTCCACTGCCTTCCATTTTACCTTCCCATGGCTCTTTCTCACAACATGCAAAACAGTAAGTCCAGGGGTCTCTCATGAAAATTGGACAATTAGATCAACTGATGAATAATCATTTATCAGATACCTACTAGACTATGCCATATCCATTATATCACAGATTATTTTATCACAGCAACACTCTGAAGAATGGAGGAGATACAATTTGAGGCACACTCTCAAGTACTTGACTCAGATCCTGGATGGAGAATTCATGAGTTAACTGGAAGGCAAGTTGGAGAACTAGAACTTAGGGTTATATAACCATTGAAAAGCAGGGTAGAGGGCTGGGGTTATGGCTAAACCGTAGCGCACTTGCCTGGTGTGCATGAGGCACTGGGTTCGAGTCTCAGCACCACATATAAATAGATAAATAAAGGTCAATTCACGGGCTGGGGATGTGGCTCAAGCGGTAGCACGTTCGCCTGGCATGCGTGCGGCCCGGGTTCGATCCTCAGCACCACATACAAACAAAGATGTTTTGTCCGCCGAAAACTAAAAAATAAATATTAAAAAAAATTCTCTCTCTCTCTCTCCTCTCTCTCTCTATCTTAAAAAAAATTATAAAAAAGGTCAATTCACAAATATTTTAAAAAAATAAAAGCAATGTAGGGTCAGGTCTTTTAAACTTGCATATTCAACAATTTTATTCATCAAAGGTAACTTAGTAGCTGAAATTCCAGAACTTGATGACATCACTTAAATAATTCTTGAGAGAAAGAAATGAACTATCTATTGATGGGAGGCTGGAACCACTGACCCAGGACCACATCAAGAATAGTCACAGGGCTGGGGTTGTAGCTCAGTGGTTGAGCACTTGCCTTGCACATGTGAGGCACTGGCTTTGATCTTCAGCAAAGAAAGAAAGGAAGAAAGAAAGAAGAAAGAAAGAAATTGTGTCCACGTACAACTAAAAATATATTTTAAAAAAAGAATAGTCACAGGAGGGATGGGGTTGTGGCTCAGTGATAGAGCACTTGCCTAGCACATGTGAAGCACTGAATTCTATCCTTAGTACCACATTAATAAAATAAAATAAAGTTTAGGGGCTGGGGTTGTAACTCAGTCGTAGAGTGCTTGCCTAGCATGTGTGAGGCACTGGGTTCGAGTCTCAGCACCACATATAAGCAAATAAATAAATAATCCATCAATAACTAATAAAAATTTTAAAAATAAAGTTTAAAAAATAGTCACAGGAGAAAAGATTAGATACAGGATAAAATCTTGTTAGTAATCATAATATGGTGATAGATGTTGTTGGGGGGAAATACCAAAAATGTCACTGAAAAAGTAAAAAAAGCCTTTTTACTTTTATCACAAGATAAAATACAGTTTTATGTGCATTGTGGCTTTATTTAATTCCATTTTTCTTGTCTTGTGCTAATAAAATGCTTCAAAATCTTAATTTTTACCTCAGAATCAGATCTTCCTTCCAGGTTTCAGCAGAAAAGTCACATGTGAATAAAAAAACAAAAACTTCTGAAAACTCTTTGCTACTTATTGCATAATGTAAGCCTTCATTTTAGCAAACCAGGTACTTGAATTTGGGGAAGAAAAATTAGAGGGAGAAAAAAAAAGTAGAAATGGAGTTTTGATAGACTCCTTTGCAAAGTTGTCTTCAAAGGAAACATCCAGAGATCATGGTGATTGTTCAAATCCACAAGTGATTCAATGTGCATACTTCCAGAGCTCCAATTTGTATTCAGCACACATCAGAAGCTGTCTTAAATACATCCTGTTCAGATTGATAAAGGTTTCCAAGTGAAACCTAGCTAACAAATTACTAGTAACTATCACTAAACCAAAAGCAACTGAGAAGCTGTGTCCTCCCTGACACACATAAAATCAATGAACAACAGGAAGCTCAGTATCCTCAAGAAACTGTGCCAGGGACTTGGTTGAAGAAATGAGAGGGACAGAGTTTCCTAGCTGAATAACCAAGACAACTACATAAATCTGCATATTATATATTGATTCCCTGATGCACATTTATTTCCCCTCCCTTGTCCTGCTGCCCCACCTGGCCTCTGCTCTCCTTCAGGGAGGATTTTGGAGGAGACAGACCTTGCTAAGCTCTACTAGCTAAGTTTTCCTCACCTCCTCGGTTTCAGGAGTACATTCTTTTCTTCTGGGGGGTTGCCCAGCTCCTGGCCGAAAGGCTCCCATTGGAATATTGATATTTGCCTAAAAGAGAAAATGGTGTAGATTTAGCTCGAGAAATGTATGAAATTGCAATGATACTCTGAGACAGCAATCATTGTGAGAAAAAATGTGTCTGAAAAGTACATCTTCAAAGCTTTTTATCTCAGGAAAATTGCTGTAATGACAGCACAAAATATGCAAAGGAAAATTTGACTTCCATTTGTTACAGATTTCTGGTATTCATCCTTATATCTGAGCAGCGATTTTACAATTCCTTACTGGATGGAAGAATTTGAAGACAGTTTGTTCTCGCTATTGCCCTCCTGTGGTGCATATTATCTCTGTGAGGGATAAGGAAGAAACACAGAACCGTAGGACAGAAGGAAAGCATCTGCAAAAGCCACCCCATGCCTTTGCCTTCCTTCAGGTCCCTTCAGATTTACCAAGGAATGGGGGACATTCACATCTCCTATGCTGCTGCTCCCTTCTTTACATAACATCCTACCATATTTCAGCATTGCCTTAGGCCTCTGGAATTGACCTTCAATCCTCTTCCCAACACACTCTTCTGTGTCAGTAAGGAAAAAGCAGAATGTTGAAAAGACAAGTTCCCTTTGTATTATAACTCACCGATTCTTATTCTTTATTAAGACAACATATTAATCTCCATCAGTGGAGAACACAAAATACCATCTACTTAATATGAAATGTTCCAAAAATTAAATTATGTAATGTCATGTTGACATAGTAATTTGAACTTGGGAAGAGAATACATAAATTTGAATTTTGCCCATATTTTATCTGATATCAAAAGGTGAAAACACCCAGGCATAGTGGCACGTGCCTGTAATCCCAGCAGCTCAGGAGGGTGAGGCAGGAGGATCACGAGTTCAAAGCCATCCTCAGCAACTTAGCAAGGCACTAAGCAACTCATTGAGACCCTATCTCTAAATAAAATACAAAAAAGGGCTGGGGGTGTGGTCAGTGGTTGAGTGCCCCTGAGTTCAATCCCTGGTACCAAAAAAAAAAAAAAAGAAAAAGAAGGGTGAAGACATATAATAGAGACCTAAACTGTCTTCATCCAATAGTAGCACTCACATAAAACATGCATTAAACACTTTTTTTAAAAAAAAAGTACAACACATTTTTTTCCACTATAGATAAAAGTGTTGCTTTATGAGTAATGGGTTATGTGGGTTTGAAAAGTTGAAGTTTCATCTTGTTTTGAGTGACAATGATGCCTGAGCAAAGGCATCATTTTATTATAACACAGATTGGACCAAATGAAATTATTGTGAAATGTAGTAATGTCCATTTGGAAGCACCTGGTATAAGCTGTCACCAGGGGAATGACACCCATGACAAGTGGTATCCACTGTCCATGTTCATTCAGCACAGACAACAGGAAGTAACTTTTCCCATCTAGGGGCTTTAAAACTTCCCTTCTTACTAGAATAATGATGATTCTACAGAAAAGAAATCAATCAAGAGTATTTATAGTGGAAAAAACCAGAGGTACATCATTGTGGTGCCATCATTAGAGCCAGCAAGCCAGGAAGTATTTTTGATTAATATGTCCTATAAGACAGATAAGATAGAGGGAAAGATAGGTCTTAAATAGTTGAAAATATGGAGTCCTACTTTGTGAACTCCAAGATGTATTTTTTAAATATATTTGAAATCATAATGTGTCTTACAGCTAGTGATATCTTATACTTTTTTTTTTGAGACACAGTCTTACTGTATTACCAGGCTGGCCTCAAATTCCTGAGCTCAAGCAGTTCTCCAACCTCAACTCCCAAGAGACTGGGATTACAGACATAGGAGACTACGTCCATTTGTATCTTATAATTTTAATTGGCAAATTTTCTTTATTTCTGGGCAAGACATAAAATAATAGTATTAGCTGGGGTTGTAGCTCAGTGGTAGGGCCCACTTAACATGCATGAGGCCCTGGATTCCATCTCCATCACCACCAAAAACAAGAAAATAAAATAAAATAATGGTATTTTACAACTGACAGTGTTTAGATTGGAAGACATATCATAGGGACCTGAAGTAAGAAGATCAAAACAATATAAATAAGACTCATAGAAGATGATACATAATTGAATCAATAGACTATTTCCAGCAGTACAGTCTGGATGAAAGAGGGAGATAGTCAATAAGGATTATATGGGAGAAGGTTAATCAATTAAAAGTTTAGTGAGATCACCCCATCCCAACCCATTTATTAAGAATCTACATACAGGGGGAATCTTCCTAATAGCCAGGTCAGATTATCATATTGTTTCTAAAAGACTTAATAGTTAAACTAACCTATTTACTCAAGTATGTATGTTCTATAGTTCATTGTGGCTTTCAGTAAAAAAAAATGCAAAAGTCATCCACAATAATGTAATAGATAAAGCACATGCTATGGGCCCACCTGCTTTTCCCATTTGGGAATTAATTGTAGAAATTCAAGTAGCCTCTCCCTGGGTCATGTGTGGTTTACAATAGTGAAAAGAGGGGCTGGGGATGTGGCTCAAGCGGTAACACACTCACTTGACATGCACAGGGTGCTGGGTTCAATCCTCAGCACCACATAAAATAAAATAAAGATGTTGTGTCCACCGAAAACTGAAAAATAAATATTAAAAAAATTCTCTCTCTCTTTTCTCTCTCTCTCTCTTTAAAAAAAAATAGTGAAAAGAGCCCAGTTCTAGGAGTTGCTAACAGATTCTCAGTACTTGAAAAAGTGATAGCTGCTCTGTCCCCACTTGTGATATGAATATTAGGCTACAGCAGGGTTTTTCAAACCTCTTAACCATGGAATCCTTCCCTCAATTAAGGAATTCTAAGGATATCTAATGCAAAGTCTGAGGAGATGGAGGTTTGAACACCTACATTCTCACAAGTATTCTGAGGTTGATATAATCATCTTTGTTTTACTGATAAAGAAACTGAGTTAGATAATTTGTACAAGGTCACACAATTAATACAAGCAAGTGGGCATGCTGGCACAAAATGTCTGTAATCCCAGCCACTCAGGAAGCTGAGCCAGGAGGACCCCAAATTCCAGACCAGCCTGGACAACTTTGCAAGACTGTCTCAAAATAAAAAGGACTGGGGATGTAGCTCAGTGGTAGAGCACCCCTGTGTTCAATCCTGACCGCCCCTCTCCCCAAAAAAGACTACAAGCAAAAGCCAGGATTCTAAATCAAAGCTGTCTAACTGCAAAATCAGACCTTTATACTCTACCAAACCATTCTCCAAAGAGTTCTTTTCACTTGGCTGAAGTTAGCTGTAACCTGCTCTGAAATTACAGACTTATATTTTGAGAAAGGCCTTTGAAAGGGGGCATACAGAATAGATAATTCCAGAATATCTGCCAAAGAAAAGCCACTTTGAAAAATGAGCCATTAACTTACTGACTTGACACTTTTTCTTCTTTAAAGCATCATTCACATCAGGAACCTAAATGGCTTTTTATGACAGCAAATATTGACAGGAATGAAAGCAGCCTGAAAACATGTGGAACATCCAATCATTCATGTGCACCAATGAGGGAGTGTAAAAGGAATGCTTTGTCAACGGTGGCATGCATTACACTAGTAATAAGATGATTAGAGATGTTTCATTAATATAATTGTAGGGCAGTGATACTTGAATGACAAATTATAGACTAAATTATACACATAAAGAAAATTCCTTTAACTTGAATTTGATAGGAAAATGTAGATGTGTAGATCTCTGTTTTTATTCCATTGGCCAGAGAATTGGGTCATATTCTTGTCTTTTTCACTGACTTGCTCCAGTTTGTTTGAAATACTAGGAATGGAAACCAGAGCCTTGAACGTGCTGGGCAAGCACTGAACCACTGAGCTACATACATCCCCAGGGCTTTCTCTGTGTTTGAATACAAATGAAATATCTTTTCAATCCTTCACTCTTTCCCCCTGCAAATTGAGTATGGCATTGGCCATTGAAAATGGGTTTGGAATATAAGCTTCTATCTATCTATCTATCTATTTTTGGAACTGGAGAGTTAACCCAGGGGTACTTAACCACTGAGCCATATCCCCAGCCCTTTTTTAATTTTTTATTTAGAGACAGGTTCTCACTAAGTTTCTTAGGGCCTTTCTAAGTCCCTGAGGCTGGCTTTGAACTTGCCATCCTCCTGCCTCAGCCTCTGAGACACTGGGATTACAGGCTTGTGCCACCACACCTGGCTATAAGCTATTTTTAAAATGAAAGAATAAACACAGAAAAGGCTTAACATTAATGACCAAAGTCATTAATGTACAAAGTCATTAATGTTAAGTTGGAGTTTTTTTGCTATATAGATTCTGTATAAATGTGAAGGAAGCAGGTTCTTGTTTTTTTTTTTTTTTCCTCCCTTTGGTAATGCAACCCTATCTAATTCCTTTCTCTCCTTGAGGTTTACTCATATTAGATATTTTTAAATGTGCTCCCCTTCAACAGACCAGGTGCATCATTTTCCCAAGCTATACATAATTTGTTACATCCTCCAAGTTGGGAATGGAAAAAATCTACTAGATCATCTTTTGCCAGTACAGGATACAGTTCCCTGATAGAAGACCTATCTGATGTGAAATGAATACTACATTTGATCTCACCAGATGAAGAAAAGTAGAAAGAATTCCCTGTAAGTTAATTCCACCACTCCCTTAATTATTTGTATTGTTCTCTTTACTTGACTCCAGGCTTTGAGCCAGGAGGATTCTGGAAACAATATTCCCTTCACAGTCACTCCACTGGGGTTTACAATGGAATGACATCTTCTTTCCCCAGGGGGTTGGATTCTGATAGCTGCTGGCCCCTGGGTGCTGACAATTCCTATTGAACTTTACTTTCCGTAATCATTGTTCTCCCATCTCCTCCTCTCTTTTTGTCTCTCTTTTCTGAACCTACTGTGTTGCATATTTGTTTCTAATGACCCCCCACTGATTCATCTTTAGTTTTCAAAGATTCCCATCAGCTCCTGCCAGGATCTATAGCCTCCCCAAAGTCATTCTTCCAAGATGCAGTCAGAGGAA